TCGCATGAACTTTCATTTTTCCATTTGCTTTCTCTAATACTGCCACATAAAAAGGCTTAGGTTAATTACATGCATGCCTTGATTTTAAAGGGTTTAATGTAACAAAGCAGGCTATCTAAAGCTTCCTTAACAATACATCGAAGCAGAATAAAACTTATTTTCTTGAATCCTCTAAAACTGAGGTATAGCTCTAGAAATAAAAGAATCTGGTTCCTCAAAGGAAAAAATGTTTAGGAATTCTTAATTAGTAATTCTATGGCTAAACAAATTCCTATTTTTGTTACATTCATTTACTCATTGAATACTGTAACAGAATCAGGAAAAAAATATCTTCTTTAGGAGGACAGAAATCCAAAGGAAAAATATTGGACATTGGTGGCTTTCTGCATTTTATTATTATTATTTTTTTTTTGTAAAGTCCCTTTAAGAATATTTTGAGATGTAAATAACTATCCTCCCTCCTTGGAGTTCAGAAGAACAGGAATCCTCATGTTTTCTCCACACTATAGAGCTACCACCTTCTACAAGAAGATGTAAAAGTTGTTCAAAAGAGCAACATGTAGTCACAGAGGACAGCATCCCTCAGAATCTTCATTTCACCTCCAACTATGCCATGTCTCATTGTAAGCTTCAGTTCCAGAACTGTGCATGAAAATTGATGGTACAATAATTTCTGATACTAAACTTCATAATTAAAGTTTCTTTCAAGATTAAATGAGGACAAGTCATAAACACAGTTCCCAGTGTTCTGAATACTTAAGCACCCTTAACTTGAGCTCAAAAGAGGCACATAAATGCAAATATTCACAGGATCAAGTTCCAAAAGTACAATCTTAAAGTTTTATGGGCTAATAAATAACAACAATCTGGGAAGAAGGGTTAGCTTGTGCATATTGGTAATAGTATCTTCCCAATTTGAAAATAGCTGTTAAAGATAAATTGAATGTTGTGATTCACAGGAAAAACTGTTATTTAATGCTAGAAAATACTTGGAACTTAAATCATGTTCATTCTAAGAAAATCCTCAGTTTCTTATTGATGCCAAATTTTTTCAGTATTTTTTTGTAGGCATAACAATAACTTCCAAAGCTAGAAAGACGACGACAGCTAGGCACAAAAATACCCTCAGTTTCCATTACCCATCTTAAACTACTGCTACTTAAATGATCAGCTTTTCCATACGTAGCCCATAACCTCTGCGCTACAAGAAAGAAGTTACTTAAAACAGTACAAGACCAAAAACTTTGATCAACGTACCTATCTTTTTTCAAGGCTACACGGTCCATGGCCCCAATTCTTATAGCCCATCACTCAACATTTTCAGTGTTCAATGCCATAAAAAAAACAAAATCACAACATGTAGATGATCATTTATGCAAGAGTTTTTATTAAAGTTGAACTAAACCATGGCCAGAAAAGAATGGCTAATGGCATTTACTTGCCTCCAATAGAAAATAAGCCCTGTTAATTTGCTGTTAAAGGACAGCCTCGTTGCTTTGCTGTGAGAATCCTAAATAAGGAGGTGTTTCTACTGCGTTATGTTCTCCCCACAAGTTGCATTGTACCTGTACTGGGATTTTGGATCAAGAGCCTCTGTTTATATCTAGTGCCCAGAACTGCTTTCTTACAGTTAATGAAACAGAGGAGTTATACATCACAAGGTCATCTAAGTTCTCCTTCTCACCTCCCACTTCAGTTGGAATCCGGGCAGAACCCGATTTTTAAGAACACACTTTACACAAATGGAAGCATTTTTGGCATCAGAAATTACACCAGTTACATTTATTCAATATTTTCATCATAGATAACAGGCTATTCATTACCTGCTTCCAAAGTACAATTATTTCCAAATTAATGATATTAAATATCATTTTACAGCGTAAGCTTAATGCTTTATCAGCCTCTGAAATAGTGCCACTCTGTAGAGAGAGTACTACAGAAAAGTACTACAGAAAAGTAGTACTTAAAGTACTGATCGAAGAACAAACAAAATGGGAATCCAATAAGGTGAGATTCTCAGGCAATCTTCTGTCACCTTAACCAGATGCAATATGGAACAACAGTCACACAACCTACAAAGACAAATTCTACCACAGACAGATGAAAGAAAGTCCTATAGCCAAGCTGTTACTAGCCATTCTAACAGACCAGGTGGGGTCCAAACAAAAACAAACCAGAAAAGGCAACAGACGCATAGAATAGCCACTGTGGGAAAGAACAGCTTAAGAAGGTCATCAGTCCAATTCCCATCAAAAACATTTCCAATTAGATTACATTTTCCAGTACACTGTTCAGTTTTTAGCACCTCCAAGGGTGGAGATATCACAACCCTGTCTAGTTAGCCTATTCCAATGCTTCATCAGTCTCAAGACAGAATTACATTCCCCCTCCATCCAGTATGTTAAACATCTGAAAGAAATGTTCCCTGTATTAACTACTAAATAGGCATAGGAATGTAATGAGATTTCCTCTTAATGATCTCAAAACTAAACAAGCTCAATTTTCAGTCTCACCTTATTTGTGATCCAGCACTCTGTACCATGGCATCCTCCACTGGATCCACTCTAGCTTGTCACTACCTTTCTTTTACAAAGGAGCCCACTGATCACAGTAATTTCAGTATGGCCTCACTCCAAAACGGTCTCAAAGTGAAGTGCTAATCCAATGTGGTCTCACAAAAGGAATGATTGCTTCCTACGACCTGCTGGCCATAGTGCTAACACAGCACAACACGTAGTCAGTCCCCTTTTGCTAGGATGCACTGCTCATCAGTGATGTAGGTCCTTTTCTGTAGAGCTGCTTCAAGCCGGATGACCCCCTGCTTATATCAAAAGTTGTTCCATGCCACATATAGGACTTGGCAACCCAATGTTAATCCCACGGTGCGCCACTAGCATGTGGCCACCTTCTGAACCTTACGTGGCTCATCACTATCCTTTAAACCTGCCAGTCTATCTGATCATTTACTTGCCTAGCTGGCATCCCCCCATGTTGGCAATAAAAATACTATAGTAGATTGAGTTGAAGATCCTGCTAAAAATTGAACAAAATGCACTGTGCTCTCCTTATCTTCACACCAATCACACCATCACAGAAGGCAACTAAGTCAATCAGGCACAATCTGCCACTGTTAAAAGCTTACTGCTTCCAATCACCTTTTAGTTCTTCCTATGTTTGGAAATAGCTTCCAGAAGGACTTCATAATATATTTGCAGTTTCTCAGGGGCTCCTTCTTACCCCTGTTGAAAAGCAGGCATAATACTTACTTTTCCTAACCTCTGTGAGCTTTCAGTGATGACAGAAAGCAGCACAGCATCAGCCAGTTCTCCTGGATGCACATCATCTCATTCCACTGACAGGCAATTGTGCAACTTGAACAAGTACTCCCTAGCCATCATCTGCCATAGCGATTCCCTACTACAAACTTTAACACCAGCCTTCAGGTTCTGGTAGGGCAGAAGACAAATCTTACCAGTAAAAACAGAGGCAAAAAAGACACTATGCACCTCAGCCTTTTCTTCTATTTCCTCTTGTCCTCTATTAGTAGGTCCCTTGGATGTTGAGCAGTAGACCCACACTTTCTTTAGCCTACAAGTTGTTGCCCCCACTGTTCTTGTTTCTCCCAACATCCCTCATGAATGTCAACTTCAGCTGAATTTTGGATGGACTTTTATCAACTCCAGCCCAGAATACTCAGGCAACACCTCCATGTTTCTTTTGCAAAGTTGATGTCAGCTTTCATCTTTTATATATTTTCTTTTTGTATTGTATGAGCTTCCCTCCATGAGGTTAGCAGTCCATAAACGCAAGTAGCTAATATCTCACAGTTGTTTATCCTGGTTGTTAAGAACAAAGAGCTGGCTATGAAGACCTGTGAAGGCGAGCCTTGCCTCATCTTCCCTTTGCTGCTTCTTGATGCATTTGAAAGCAGTCAGGCATCCTGCCAAAACTGCTCACTTTCTGCATGTCAAAATAGGCCACTCTCGAGCTTTAGGAAAGTTATTCTTCAAGATTAACCAGCTCTCCTAAGCTCCTTTGCATATCTAGATCACTCTTCCACTGGATCCTAAGAATTAGACCTGAGAACAACAGAGAAGTCTGTTCTCATGAAGTCCAGGGTTCTAATTCTACCAGCCAATTCAGTTACTTCTTTCAGGACTTCAATCTCCAGTCTATGACCACATCTGTGATCATCACTTCCTTATTTGCAAGTAACAGCTCTAAGCACCATCCCTAAGGATGCTCTCTGGAAACACGACTTTTAATTTCAAGTCAAACAGTTTAATTGCCTCCTTCAGTTATGCAAACTTTATTGTAGACAAACAACACAAAGCACTTCACACTTTTTCCATACTTGAGCAAAGAGCCTTTCACCCGCAAATAATATCACAGCTACTTTATTTCACAACTCCATCATCTTCTGGCATTGCATCCACATTTTACAACCCATTTGCCAGAGGCCTTTTACCTACCTGTCAAAATAGTGCGTCACTTTTACCACACGCACATTTACTGAACATAATAGTCTTCAGCAGGATATGAATACATTGACTGAATTGGCATTTGACTTCCATTGTGCTTACAGGCACCTGGGGTTTCTATTGCAACATAAGGGTAGGGATTAGTGCTGGATCATTTCACACGCCTGATCTTTGGGTGCATCTCTAATAACTGAGGGGAGCTGTAACAATTAGAAAATTGTACTGATAAATAGATTACAGAAAGAATCATAGAATATCCTGAGGTAGGAGGACCCACAAGGACCATCGAGCCCAACTCCTGAACCCACAACTTCATATTAGTTACTGCTAATGATACATGCACACACATACACAAGGATGATTTTGGAAGGCTTATGCACTGACCACAGGTATTTTAAGTACCAATAGCCCTTTTATTTGTCTGCTAGCATCAACTGGATGAAAAGTAGTAGATACTACACTGTTCTCAAATAACTATATTAAAAGCATATTATCAGAAAAAGGAGCGTGCAGTCTCACCTCGAGATGATTTGCTGAGTGTCCCACTTGATGTACTAGCATCTGTTGACAAAGCCTGAACATTTTCCAAATCATTCTCTTTGGATTTTGAGCCCAGATTTATGAGAACCGCCTCCTCTTTTCCACTCGAATCATGCACAGGAGAAGATGAAGTTTCAGCATAGAGGCGTTTCAGCACTTTCTTTATGAACACTGTGGAGTAATAGAAGAGTTTTAAATAGGGAAAAAATAATCAGTGATTTAAAAGGTAGCTTAAGACATTGAAAGTACATGAAACCAAACTCTAATTGACAACAGTTTCCCTCATATCCAGTGCAAATCTGTCTTCAATAGTCCCTACCTCTCACATGTAATAAAGTTGAAGATTTAATATATTAAAATCCTAAACTGCGCCAGAATAGACCAGCTTTGAAACCCCAGGGACCACTAGCAAGGTGACTTATAAAGTGCTCTATTTGACTAGATTTTGGCAATAAATTAACACAGTACATTTCCAGACTAAACACATTTATTTTTAATTGTCTTTTAAAACAGATACTTTTAAATATTTCTTACAGAAGTGTTACAAAGCTGCTTGAAGTACAGGTCTCTCCTGGGATAGTGGCATTGCAATTGAATCACTCATTAAAAAAAAAAAATCAGTAAGCTAAAACTGCTTAATCATATAGAAAAGCTGGTAAGCAGCAGTAGAGACACGTGGTAACACAATCATTTCTACCAAAGTTGAACTGCTCTTATTTATGGGCTACCTTCTCATTTCACCTGCAATCTGCCACTAAGTCAAATGCAAGCATCATTTGATTAAAGAAAAGGAATATACGCAAAGAATTTAGTCATTAACAAAATTATAATCTGTATAGGAATGCACGTACATTTCAATTGGTTCAAGTAACATTGATATTTTTTGTCTATTGCAGAACAATCCCAGGGAGGTGGTGGAGTCGCCGCCCCTGGCAGTGTTCAAGAGGCGTCTGGACGACGTGCTGCGTGATGTGGTTTAGTGCTTGTGGTGGCAGTGGTGATGGGGAGACGGTTGGACTAGATGACCTTATAGGTCATTTCCAACCTTGTGATTCTATGATCCCCAGTTTCATAAATTCCAAACCTTCAACCAGATATTGCAGGGAGACGGGGAGCGAAAAGGAGGGAACAGAGATTGAGAGGAAAATATCTGACTTTAATTCCAATTTTAACAGAAATTATACTGTTCATACAAGTGACTTGGTGCAGATTCTTGAAGTAATTCTGCTTAAAGCAGTTTATAGAAATACACAGTAGCAGTTCACAGATCCCTTCAATAAATGGCCTAACTTTACAGCTAAAGAATCAGATTCATTGAGTTGGGAAATCCTTGAACTCCCAGTCCTGGAGATACAAGCTCCATCTTCCCATCATCTCCCCACACCGCCTTGGTGATGGGTTTCAATTGTCATGTCACAGCTGCAGGGAAGAATGTCTTGGATTTTTTTTTGAGCTCCTACTAGTTTATGCATAATCACTTTTTGTTTGGACCAAATTTCTTGAATAATCATTGACCTTATAAAAACACCCAAGAAAAGAGCCGAGCTTGAAGAGTCACTTGAGCAGAAAGCTACACCTGAATTTAGTTTTTCTACACATACTCCTCATAAAGTGGCATCAAATATACTGATACAAGCTACAAGAGATACCCACTTCAAGAAAACAACCATTTTGCTGGATAATTATTGCAGAAAGACACCAACAAAACAGTATGTACCAAACACACTTATTCCTTCTGAAGTTTCCTTGCCCAGGTATTCTTCCACTGGAAATACAAAACCCACAGTTACTGACTCCAAAGGAAAGAAGAGAAATAACCAACCAGTACAGTAAGACAAACCTAATTGCTTTGTGAAGAACTCTGACTCTAAAGGAAGCTGTCTAAGAGGTTTACCCTGAACCCTTTCTCCCTGAGCACAGCTATTGCAACACTTCAACCAACCCCAGATTCAGGCACTCGTACTGTACTGCACCCAAAGCAAGTACTTCTTTGAGATAATGGTAAATCTTACCAAGGAGGTAAGTGTTCTCCAAATCTGCTGTAGCTACCCTCCTTAGTAGCTACAGTGGATGTTTCACTCCTCACTTGAAGTCGGACTCCCCAAGTCATCTGTTCACATTCCTCTTCTCCCCCACAATGGCTCCTTTCTTCATTTTAGAAATATCCAAACTATACTCATATGCACATTGGCATTGTTTCAGAAGGCAACACGAGATCACTTTTAATACACATTTATTCTTACGGACTCACTTCATCTGTAATGCCTATGTCTGAGAAAGCAACCTGAAACACTTGCCCTTGAAAGATATAAATACTTAGGAAGGCATACTTTCAACAAAAACCCTCTTGGTTAGAAATAAATGTCTAGATCAGTAGCAGCAATGTATTTACTCAGCAGAGATGTAGTTCAGCTGCCAACACAAAAGCTTTCTGGTTTTCAGCACGAACAAGGGGAGAAGAAGCTGGGTGCTCTTTACTGCCTGCAGCACTTGCGCATCTGACAGTGCCTTTGAGTACAGCAGGCATCTCCTTAGGAAACCAATAAGCCCAATAGCCACAACAGAACGGAAACAGGCAGCAGTGACATCTAGGGCATAACAAGTTGCCTGTTTGGAACCAGGTATACTTCAAGCCTTCTGAGTACAGCAGGAATTAATGAACCCCAGCGGTAAACCTTCCTTGGGAAAATTTTAAAAGATGGCATTCCTAAGTAGTTAGAAAAAAAAACTAATTTAGCTTGAGCCATTAAGAATCCTAAGTGTGTTGCGGCCTGCAATAAATAAATAAATGAATGAAATCTGCCCATGGTCCAACACTGCTGCAACAAGTTTTCCTGCATACCAACAAACAAGGGAATTAGACTGATGAAACAATATCTATCCTGCTACCCCACAACAGCTTTACAAGCACTCTGCTTTGGCTTTAAGAGTCGCTCAGAGCTGAGCTACCAAAACCTCTCAGATGATAGAGGATACTGTTTCCTTGGGGTTCTATTACTGCAATTACTTAAAAAACAAACAAAAAAGCCCCTAGTAATAAAAAATAATTCTGTTATGTCAACAAGTGTTGGCTTAACTACGGGAGGCTGGTCAGTCTCACCACTCAATGGCTTTTCTCCCCCATTTAGAACTCTCCCTAACTTGTTTGGAACTATGCAGCACCAGAGATCTATCTGTAAATCTGGTAAAAACTCCTCAGATTCTCAGAACTCAGAGAAGACTGAAGAAAATGCATGGAGCAAAGTATCTATCAGAGAAATAACTTTCTTATCAGAGCTCCAAAACAGAATAAGACTCACTCTCACCATTCCAGTAGCACAGCTATGTAAACATATTTATTGCTGTTGTTTTCCAGTAGGGATTACTGAAGAAAGATCTATGCTGATTTGTACTCTCTTTCAAGAGAGCGATCCAGGAACACTTTACTCTTGATAGCAGATGGATGTTTCTTAACCACCATAAGCAATTTTGAGATATGCTTCTGAATGATCTAATTAATTCTTTATAAAGCACAGAAAAGTTAAGGATATGGTATTCAGAATCAGAACCAAAAAAGCTCACCACACTTATATACAATGCTCACACATAAGACATAAATGATTTAATATTTCCCACTAAGCTTCAGAAGATATTCTTGAAAATTGTAGTGTTTCGGTCTGGGAGAGAAAGAATAGTTTAAGGGGAATTATCTCCAGAACTGAGCCTGAACTTGAACAAGAAAGAAAGATGAACAGCAATATGAAGCCAATTACAAGGAAGAAGGAGAGCCCTGCTGCAGGAAATACAGCAAACATATCAGCGCTCTCAGTTCCGGAGTTTGCTTTGTTCTAACAGATGAGAAATTGCAAGTGAGAGAAGGAAGCAAAGAATTTTAAGGGCAAAGAACGGCAGTGGTGTAGATGTGCCAAAACGAACACCGTACATAAGCAACAGCACTGCATTGCTTTCAATAATCCTAATTTCCCAAAAAGCAAAAGGACATCCATATGTTTCATAGGATATAGGCTAAGCAAGAATAAAGGCACACTTAAGTATCCAAAGGTGGGCTGTAAGAAAGAAGGGGACAGTGTCTTCAGCAGGGTCTTTTTGATAGAAGAAGACCCTTTTTTTTTTTTTTTTCTATTTTTTTTTTAAATAAGGGCAGTGAAGCACTGAAGCAGGCTGTCAGAGAGGCAGTGGATGTCCCACCCCGGAGACACTTCAGGTCAGGCTCAACAGGGCTCTGAGTTTGGCCAATGCACGGCAGGTCTTGAAAAGCTACCAAAGTAGTTTATCACGGCTCTGATCCTCTGAGGTACAATTGACAACACATTATTTGCAATGTGCCAAAAGTTAAAGATGCTTTCTGAGTTCTATTGAGAATGTATATTGCAATGCATAGAAGAATGTCTCCATAGCTATGTGTTACTGAAGAAAGATGACTGAACATTCGGCCACACTATGACAACAGATGGAAGTTCTAAGCCTCTACCCTTGATGAACACAGCTCAGGGGTCTCCATGTCTTGGAGCTCTCTGTTAATCACACTGGAATTTGACACTGTTTCCCAAAGCATTCTCCTGGGGAAGTTGGCAGCTCATGGCTTAAACAGGTGTATGGCTTGCTGGATAAAAAACTGGCTGAATGGCCAAGCCCAGTGGTGGTGAATGGAGTTAAAACCAGATGCAAACAGCAGCATGTCCCAGGAGTGAGTGTTGGGACCGGTCCTGTTCAATATCTTCATCGGTTATTTTGACTAGGGGACACAGTGCACTCTCAGCAAGTTCAAAGATGACACCAAGCTGGGAGGAAGTACTGATCTGCCTTATGGTAGGAAAGGCCTACAAAGGGATCTGGACAGACTGGATCAAAGGACTGAGGCCAACAGGATGCGCTTCAACATGACCAACTGCCAAGTCCTGCACTTTCGATCGCAATAACCTCATCCAAGTGGCTGGAAAGCCACATGGCAGAAAAGTACCAGGAGTTGCTGGCTAACAGGCAGCTGAACATGAGCCAGCAGTGTGCTCAGGTGGGCATTAGGTTTTCAAGGGCCCACTTCTCCAGCCTGCCCAGGTCCCTCTGCATGGCTTCCCTCCAATGTGTCGACAGCACCACTCAGCTTGGTGTCACCTGCAAACTTGCTGAGGATGCACTCGATGCCATCGTCTGTGTCACTGATGAAGATGTTG